AACGTCTTTTACGATCACCCCTGAGTTGGACTAACAATCCTATTCTGTGAAAAATAAAAAGGCAAGCCACAGACTGTAGAAAATACCAGCAAATAATGTATCTGACTAAGGCTTGTATCAAAAATGTACAAAGAATTTTCAAAACTCGACAATAAGAAAACAAACAACCCAATAAAAAACGGGAGAAGTCTTAAATAGACACTTCACCAGAGAAGATATTCAGATGGCAAATATGCACATGAGAAATGCTCAATATCATTCGTCACTGGGGAAATGCAACTTAAAATCACAGTGAGAAACCACTACGCACTCATTAGAATGATGTTAGAATAGTTTGTGAGGATATAGAGAAATTAAAATCTGTACATTGTTTGTGGGAAGGCAAAGTAGCATAGCCATTTTGGAAAAGAGTTGGGCATCTTTTAAAGTTAAACATAGGGGCACCTGGGTGGCTCAGTTGTTAATCATCTGCCTTCGGCTCAGGTCATGATTCCAGGGTCCTGGGATCGAACCCCACATCGGGCTCCCTGCTCGGGGGGAAGCCTGCTTCTCCCTCTCCCACTCCCCCTGCTTGTGTTCCCTCTCTCGCCGTGTCCCTCTCTGTCAAATAAATAAATAAAAATTAAAAAAAATAAAGTTAAACATATACTTACCATATGACCCAACAATTCCACTCCCAGATATTTACCCAAGAAGAAAATGAAGACTTAAGTTTGCACAAAAAATTTACGTACATGTTTACAGCATCTTTATTAATAATCACCTAAAATTGGAAACACCCAAATGTCCTTCACTTGGTGAATAGATGAACAAACTATAATTATTCATACAACAGAATACTATTCAGCAATTTTTAAAAAATGAACCATTATAGAAGCAAGAACATGGAAGAATCTGAAATGCATTATGTTACGTGAAAAAATCAGATTCAAAAGGCTACCCACCACATAATTCCATATAGGACATTCTGGAAGAGGCGGAAGTGTAGAAGTAGAAAACAAATCAGTGGTTGCCAGGGGCTGAGGGTGGAGGCAGAGGTGAGTAAAAAGGGGCAGCACAAAGGAATTTTGGGGGGATCACAGAGTGGCCCTGCATCTTGATGTTGGTGGTGGGTCACGACTATATGCATTTGTCAAAAGTCATAGAACTGTATACCAGAAACAATGGATTTTATTGTATACAGTTTATTTTAAAAAGCCTAGAGATTTTGGGGTGCCTGGGTGGCTCAGTCGTTAAGTATCTGCCTTTGGCTCAGGTCATAATCCCAGGGTCCTGGGATCGAGCCCAGCATCAGGCGCCCTGCTTGGCGGAAAGCCTGCTTCTTCCTCTCCCACTCCCCCTGCCTGTGTTCCCTCTCTCGCTGTGTCTCTGTCAAATAAATAAATAAAATCTTTAAAAAAAATAAAAAATAAAAGCCTAGAGATTTCCAGTTAAATATCAGTTGATGCATTTGCTGGCAATAATCAACTATTTGATCTTTCCCTGAAAACCAGCATCTTTAAATTTATAGCTATATAATATAGACCATCTGTTTTAAAATAGCTTTCTTATGATGTCACTTTTTAAAATTGATATGTCTAGAAATGTATACTAGGAAAAAAATTAGACGACCTCAAAGAGCATGTGTTAAATTGTATTTTTTTTTCCCCTTTCATAGCTGGAAACACACAATTAAGGGACAGATATAGAGAGAAATCTCTTTCATTTGTGAAACTGTCAAACTCTCCAGCACCAAACCCACCCAGAATACAGCAGGAGGCTGAGAACACAGCCTCCCCGCCGAGCAGGGCCCCCTGTGTTTATGAGCGCCTGACTCTGTGGGGAGTACGTGTCTGGGGGGACTCTCACACAACCACCGGGCTCCTCACAAGGTGAATGATGTTAGGACTCCTTCACGAGCCTGGGGACTGGGTCTGGGGCTGAGACACTGGTTGCTGGCAATAGGGCCCATTTCGTTGCTTCTTAGTAAACCCTTACGGGGGGGGGGGGGGGGGCTTGACCTTGTTCATGTGGTACAGGTGCCCTTTTGTCCTCTGCTTGTTCTTGCTCATCAACAGGAAAAGTCCCACTCTGTATCCTATTACATTAGGAAGGCCTCACAGAGCAATGGGACCACAGAAAGAGTCCTCCTCAACATCCCGTAACTCCCATGTTGTGGCCAATTCAAGGTTAGCATTTGGCAAGGGTAGGGGGGAAGGGCAATGCATGAGGGAATCCAGGGCGCTAGTTGGGTGTCCTTGACGTGACATGACTATGAGGTCCCTAGATGGATGATCTCAAGGACAAGATCATGCAGTTTGTTTTACACTGGCCCAAGATGCTCAAAGTACACCTTGAATGCATGAAATATGTGTTGGGATTGGGAGAGAAGAACCTGCAGGTGATAAGGACCGGGTTTATTCAAGGCACGGGAAGTGAGAGTAAAAGAAGAGCACCTTATGGACTGAGAAGGAAATCTTAGAATCCCAGAACTTGGAATGGAGACAATCCTGTAAGTATTTTAGGTTGCTAAAGAGGAGTAGGTTTGGAGGTTGCTGGAGTTAAGGGAGCCAAATCAGGAGATCAGGGTACTGATTGGCTCATCACAGCATTAGTTCATTTGTTCATTCATTCATACAACAAATAGCTCTTGGTGAGCATTTGTGCCAGATATTAGGCGTTGGAGCCATGGCAATGAGCAAATGTTTTCTGGTAAATACAGGGATGGTAGTTGGGGAGACTTAATAAGCAAGTAAGAAAAGCTCTGTAAGACAGCAATTTCAGAGTTGAGATTTCCTAGATTTTGAATCCCAGATCCAGGCACTTAATAACAATGTGACTTATAAGTTATTTAACTGATTTGTGCCTCAGTTTCCTCATTTGTCCAATAAAAATACTAAGTGCCTACTTCATAGGATTGTTGTGATTAATGTGGTAATTAGCGTAAAGTTTTAGAACAGTGCCTGAAACATAGTAAGCACTCAATAACTATTAGATATTAAAAATGTAAACAGATGTATACTTTATGTCAGGTAGTGAAAAGGACTATAAAGAAAAATAATTCAGAGAGGGGGATAGAGCATGGTGGTAGGGCTGTTTTGGATCAGCTGTTGAGAGGAAGTTCTCTCTGGAGAAGAGACATATGAACAAGGACCTCAATGGTATGAGAGAACAAGCCACACAAAGGTCTGTGGGAAGAGTATTTCAGGTAGCAGGAACAAAGGCCCTGGGGCAGGAAAGACCTTTAAGGCCTAGGAAAGGTGGTGGAGAAAAATATGCTGAAGACAATTTTTTTTTTTAAGATTTTATTAATTTATTTGCGGGGGCAGAGGGAGGGGGAGAAGCAGACTCCCCGCTGAGCAGGTAGCCCAATGCCAGGCTCGATTCTGGGACTCCGAGATCATGACCTGAGCCAAAGGCAGCCGCTTAACCGATTGCACTACTCAGGCCCTCTGCTGAAGACAATTGTGATCCAATCCCTACCCCATTGTGCTCCTTCTATCTACACCTTTGGAAGACAAGCCGTCTGTGAGGCTCTGGTCACCTACAGCAGATCCTCTGTACAGGTATGTGAGATGTCTATGTGACAACTGAAAGTTTTAGAGATAGAGCAACTTCAGCTTAATGGCATGTCGTGTATGTATATATATCTACCATATCTATCTATCTATCTATCTATCTATCTATCTATCTATCTATCTATATGGCATGTCGTGTATATGTATATATATCTACCTAAAATGCTACTGGTCAAGGTAGAAAGTATTTACAGCTCCATGGTCATATGTCTCTGTGTGTGTATCTATCTATCTATATTTTAAACAAAGGTAAAAAATTATTTAAAATAAAATATTTTAAAGAAAAGTAATAAAGGTAATAAATTCCTATAACTATGTATTAACATCCCATTAAGACCTGGAGTAAAGGAGTAAAATGAATAAAAATTGACACTAAGTGGCACAAATAAGACTATAAATAGCTTCATGTGAATTAAGATTTTTGTCTCCAAATGAGATAGGGCAGGTTTTGCTGCCAAAGTGCTGAAAAAAAAAAAAATTGGGGGGTTTTCAGTGCTTTTTGATTCTGGAATTACAAGTAAAGGATTGGGAACCTGTAATTTCCTCGCAGGCGGCAGCGCGCCGAGCCCAGCCGGGCCCCCCCGTTTACAGGATCAGAACTCTAGGGAGCAAAAGGCAGAAGACAAAATAAAGACCCAAATGGAAAAATCTGTGTCACAAACAACCTTAGCTACTGTTTTTGAAGTATTTCCTATTTGCTAAGTATAAACTCTTCAGATGTTCTACTTGAGCCATCTTACACCTCTCCTCTCTCAGGTAGGTGCCGATCAGAAGAGTGCATGATTTTTGTAAAGGAGGAAGTTTAGAGTGGCAAGGAGCCCCTGAGGTCAGCCCAGGGCCCACACGGGGTTGCACAGTTGATAGTATATATTTATGGTGCTATGTTCCCGGTGACCAGGACGACCTTGTACATAGAAGAAAACTTTGCCAGTTTTTCCCTCTATTCGGCAAATTTTGTTTCTCAGGTAAACATGTTTTGGAACAAGAGTGGGAGTTAAGCCTCAATGTTAGTGTCAGTATGAGAGTTCCCAGATAGATTGAATCTTCATAGCTCTTTGGAGCACGTAGAAATACTGCATTTATTCTCAGTAACATCTGACATCTAGAAGGTACAGATACAATAGTAACCTGAACAATGTTCCTCTTTCAGTGAATGTTTATTAAACCTTTAGTGTCAGAAGCTTTGAAACAATCTAAACAGCAACGGTTGTGTTAAGTTGTCTTGGTGTTAAAATGAGCTGCTGCTGTGGACCCCTAGTTCTCACGTCCGCGGGGCCCCAGCTCCTCCTCCCGGGGCTGGGGGCCGCTCGGCCCTCCGCCGCGGGGCTCCGGCCACCAGGGGGCGCTGCGGCCCCCTCTCCCGGGAGCGGCCGAGCCCGCCCGGTGGGTGTTTCTCTCCCTCTCGTGCTCTCTCCTCCCGGCCTCACATCCGGGTCTGGAGCGCGGCCGCCGCTGTCAGTGTTGGTGCGGGCGCGTCGGGGGCCGGGCCGGGGCGCAGTAAATGGCGGCGGAGGGAGGCGGAGCGGCGGCCACGCGCAGCTCAGAGCCCCCGAAACTTTAGACGCGAAGCCCCACAACTTTCCGGGAAGTGCCGCCGCTCCGGGGGCGTGGACGGAAGGGGAAGCCGAGGCGGGAAGTCTGGGGGGAAGCGGCGGGGAACCGGGCAGACTCGAACCCGCGGCGGGGGCGGGGGCGGAGTCCGCCCGTGCCTCGCGCCGCCTCGGCCCCCGCCTCCTTCCGCACGCCCTCCCCTCGGCCGCGGAGCCGGAGCCGGAGCCGGAGCCGGAGCCGCGCGCCGAGCCGAGCCCGGCACTGCGCGGGGCCTCGCAGGCGGCGGCGCGCCGAGCCCAGCCGGGCCCCCTCCTCGCGACCTCCGGGCCCTGTTGCTCGGGCGCCCCCCGCGCGCGTGAGGCCGGGGTTGGGGCTCCCCGCGGCTTCGCGGCGCGAGGAGGAAGCCGGGTCGCGCGCAGCCCCCGCCGTCCCAGGGTCGTGGGGCCAGGTCCCGGGTCTTGCATGCGGGGCGCGGCGGGGCGGGGCGGCCGCGAGCCGGAGGCGAAGATGGAAGGCTTAACGCTGAGCGATGCGGAGCAGAAATACTACTCGGATCTCTTCTCCTACTGCGACATCGAGAGCACCAAGAAGGTGGCGGCCAACGGGCGGGTGCTGGAGCTATTCCGGGCCGCGCAGCTGCCCAACGACGTGGTCCTCCAGGTAACGCCGCCGCCCTCGCCTCTGGACGCGTCCCGGGCTCTGCCGGACGCAGACCGGTCGCTTCCCGGCGGCTCCGGCCTCCAGCTGCCCGTCTCCGGGGGTGGGGGGTGGGGTGGGCGCTGTTTTCAGCAGCGCCGGCGGTGGGCTTGTGCCCCCGGGCTGGGGCCGCAGGTGCCCGGGCGGCCCGGATTCGCGCCGCGGTCGAGGGGGAGGGGTCGCTGTTAGAGGACAAAAGTCATGCAGGGATACGGTGGGGGTTGGGGGGCGGAGGTCTGTGTATTAATCTCCGAAGAGCCTGAGCCCAGTATCTCTCGGCTGCGCCTCAGAATCTGTTTTTCAGTACTGGAGGAGCAACTTCAGATGAAGGATCTTGGATTGCGACCATGTCTTTGAGTCCTAGATCCTGGTATATAACATAACTCTTCGGATCCTGCGGGGTAGTAAAGTTATCGGTATAGGTAAAAAGACGCCACAAAGTGGGTTTTGTAGGAATCGAAGAAGCAGTTTTCTTAAGGAAGCTTGAATTCTTGGGGAGATCAAAAATTTGAATTTATAGCTAGTAGTTTGCAAGTAGATATGTATGAAAAGAACTTGTAATTAACTATAGAACCTGTGGCTGATGTAAACTGGACAGTTTTCGATTGGCATTCGGTACCATTTGGTGGAACTCGTGGGTTCGGGTTGGGAGGTAAGTACTGAGTAGCTGAAGTCAAACGTGCGTATTTGCCTCAGATCTGTAGCACTAGAGGAGCACGCCCAGTAAATTTTAAGCTTTCTCTATCACATCTGTTTTTAAAATAGGTTTCCTAGAAGTTCTTATCTAATGTATGTGGGGAACATTATTGGTACTCTGTTTAATGATTCAGAGTTGCTAGTCTGTCTGAACAGCGTATCAGGAGCAGGTTTTAAGCTTTCATCTTTATGATGATCCAAGCCACTTACCCACATCTCCAAAACTTAAAGCCATATGCGTGGGTATAATGTAGTATACTGCAGAGAGCACTGAATCAGGAGTTTTGAGGCCTGGGTCTTTAACCCCGTTTTGTTGTTCACTAGCAGTGGGACTTTGGCCCAGGCACTTCCACTCTTCAAGTGTAAATGTGCTCATCTAAAGAATGAGAGTCAGGTTCCTTCTAACAAAAATTCTGGAAGTATAAAAATGTCCACAAAGGTCTCTGTTTTAGAAGTTGCCTGTGCATTAGCTATGACTAAGTTGAACGAGTTCTGTCTTTTTGCATAATCTTGTGTGTTTTACATTGCTTTTTTAAAAATCTTGGGAGGAAAAGTTGGGTGTCTTAGATATGAAGAGCTAGGAGTCTCAAATTCATGCTGTTGTAAAGGGACAAAAATTAAATATTTTAGGCTTTGCTGGCCACAAACAGTGTCTCTCCAATATTCTTTGTTTTTGCCACCCTTTAAAAATGTAAAAACCGTTCTTAACTCAGGGGATATGAAACAGGGCCTATAGTTTGCTGACCCTGGCCAAGGAATGGTGGTGGCAGCGTGGGGTCCCATGCTCACCTCATATGGCTTTGGAGTTAGACTTTTAGAGGTCTGGTCATAACATGCTCATTAATGCTGTTGCCCTTTTTTGTAGCAATAGCAAAACATACTTTCAAGTCATTTAGGAACTACAATTAAGGCAGAACTTCCCAAGTTTTATTTCGGTTTATGTTTTTGGGGTGGGGGGAGATGAAATAAACTGACTTTCATATTTTTTTTTTCTTTTGGTGCCGGAAGACTTTCGGACTTTTAGTGTATTTTTTAGGATAGACAAATGAGCATTAATTAACCTTTGCTTGAAATATGTTTAATCAAGTTATTTTTACGTTTTGCTCAGTTTTATTAACATTCAAAAATAAATTTCGGTTGCCTTTCAGTATAAAGAAAGGGCTTAAATAGAAATATTCAGGATTCAGTTACAAGTTAGAAGCTGTCGGAGCTTGCTGAAGCAGAACTCTTACAGTAATATGTACCAAATAGTATTTTGGGTATCTTGAAGGCTGTTTACATAAAAATCGGTCTAAGACATAAAATGTGAGACAAAAAGGAACTACAGATTTAGTTCTCTTAAGAGAGTTTGGGATTGTCTGAAAACACAGCCACCTGTTGCTTTCTAAGTGGGAAACATTTGGGTCAACTCGAATATATTGAGTTAGCTACTTAACTGGCGTAGGCATTTGCAGGGCATCGAAAGAGGAGTAAGAATCTCTCCAGGACTTTGTAAACTATAGGGATACACATGTGTAACATAAAGCACCATGTGAATGTGTAGGAGAGGGTTAGGGTTGACTTAATTGAGATGGACTTTAAATTAGTTTGGAGGGAGGGCAGTGGGATGGAGGACTTCCTGACAGAAAAAAAGACATGACAAAAGGTAGAAAGTGTAGGAGCCTTTTCAAGTAGTAGCAGATTGTTAGGTTTTGCTGAAGCTGAAGTATGTCTTGGGGACAATGGAACATAGAGTTAGAAAGAGACCACATTATATTAAGAAAGACCCTAAAGAAAACACAGAAGATTTCATATTTCAGTAGGCAATGGAGACTCATTGTTGGTTTTTGACCTAGAGTGAGGAAGAGGAGAGTTGGGGGAAACAGGCTAGTGCGGTGGTCTGGAACAGATGCTGGGTAATGGGCATCCAAACCCGGGTGACAGCTGTAGAATAGGAAACAGATCTGGATGAACAGGTCAGGTCTGAGTTACTGAAGGGCTGCTGGGTAGACACTATGTGAGGTGCTTTGTTGGATAATGTTTAGTTGAGGCCAGATTATCAAGGCTGGGTGGAGAGCTTTGAACTAATTGTAAAGGTAACAGGGAGGTGTAGTTTAAGAGAAATGACTCATAAAAGCTGTGCTTTACAAGACCTTTAGGAGATCAGTGCAACAGGAGTTAGAGGGAAGAAGCTGGAGATGAATTTGGGGACCCATTCTCTGTTGCATGTATGAAGTGGTGAGGAACTGGGTCATGGTGCTCAGAGGCAGGAGTGGGGGGCATCATGTGGGAAGGATGATTTTGCCTCCCCGGGGGTGTTTGGCACTGTCTGGAAACCTTTTTCGTTGTCATAACTTGCAGGGAAGGAGCAGTTCTACTGGCATCTAGGGGAGAGAGGCCAGCGATGCCGCTAAACATCCTGCAATGCACAGGACAGCCCCTACAACAAAGATTTATCTGGGCCCAAATGTCAGTCAGTGGTGCTGAGATTGAGAAATCCTCACCGGACTCTGGCGGTAACAGCGGGACCAAAAATGAGGCTAGAAATTATGAAGGTAGACTTGATGGGCCTGGGTTACCTGGTGATATTTACATGAGGGAAGAACAGAGCAAGGATTGGTCTCTCTTGGACACCACTCACCACTTAGAAAAGGGGCAGGAAGAGAGCCCAATTTTTAAAAAGATACTGGTGAGTTTGATTTCTGGCATTTTGAGATGGCAGTGGAAGTCTCTAGGAGATAGTTGGAAACTCATGGACATTTGTCCACACCGAGTACTTGTTATGACAGTGAAATTCAGTTATTTGGGTCTCTTCCTCTGCCTTTCTCACCTAAGTATCTCAGGGGTAGGGGAGGCCAGCTTCTTACACTGGGAGCGTGCATGTACACATCAGGGCTTTGACTGATTTAGTAGTTTTCAGCATTTGTTAATGAAAGTCATGAGAAGGCTGAGTCATCTGGGGAAATGAGTAGAGAGAACAAAGAACACAGGGCCCAGAACTGAAGGAGGAAGGAGCTGGTATATATTGAGTGCGTGTTATGTTCCTTTTACTGGGAAGTCATCTTCATGCAAGAACTCACTTGATCCTTACAAGAACCCGGTGAAGTGGGTGTTGTTTTTATTTATTAACTAGGAATGTGATAGGCAGAGAAGTTAAATAATTTGTTAGTGAATAAAGCATCTCTCCTTTACCATTATTCCTTGCTACCTTTCAGCTTTTTCCTACTTTCACTCTTCATGTGATTGGTTTGCCCATAGTTCTTCTGAAGAATAGAGATTTAAGATTGTTTGATTTTGAGTTATGTATGGATTTCCTTCATTGCATAGTGAATAGTTTTATGTATGATGCTGCCTTGAGACACAGCCACTTAAGAGAAATAGGAAGATTCTTGTAGTTGATATCCTGTGCACACAGAGACACTTACATTACAACTGTCAGACAGGCATCTTAAAGTATACTCATTACACTGGTTTTGGAATAGTAGAGTAAGACTTTTGCTGAGTTTAAGGGTTTGTTTTTGGAGACAGTGTGTCAGTAGACAAAGTGAATGAGCTAAAGCTTTATGGAATTATGCTCCACAACAGAGAGGAACAGGACTGGGTGGAGAAAAATTTGGCTCATAGGATCTAATCATGAGGAATTTTGCTCTTTGCTGAGCAAAAAATATTTATTGGCTTAAAAATCAGAAGTAATTTTTTTTTAAGATTACGGAAGGTATGCTACTACACTAATGATTATGTTTTCTTAGCTTTTACTTAAAGCCTCTATTTTGGGAAATGTTTAAAACTTCATATAGACTTTGAGTGCATAATAGCTTGATAAAAGGTTCTAGTACTAACAGTTCTTTCATTGAAGGTTATAACCAGTGTACCTCTACTCACCCCTAAAAGCTTGGATCTGTTAGGTCATTGGTGTTGAACAACATCTCAGTAGAATATTTGAATAACAAGTTAATTTAATGGGTGAAAAATGACAACAATGAAATATAAACCATTTTGTCTTTCTCTTGAATTTGTTCAATTATAATCTCATTAGTGATAATATTAAAATAGGGAAGCAGAGCCTCATTTGTTCATTGAAAGTTATAAATTTAATACAAGTAAATGTCAGGTTTGTTATTCTGGAGTAGTAATTTCTTTTTTATTTGTCATTTCTGAATCACTAAAATAATTACAACAAACTACAAAACTAATCTTGCCTTAATCAAACATTTTCTATACACAGTTGAAAAACATATCATACTGTTTGTGAGAGAAGTCATACTTAATGGCTTTCATATTTACTTTTT